TGGTGGTGGTGGTGGTGGTGGTGGAGGGTTTGTCCGTTGGGGGATAAGTGTGTGTCTTGGCAGTGGTGGTAGTGGTGGTGGTAGTGGTGGTGGTGGGTTTGTCCGTTGGGGGATAAGTGTGTGTCTTGGCGGTGGTGGTAGTGGTGGTGGTGGTGGGTTTGTCCGTTGGGGGATAAGTGTCTTGACAGCAGGTGAACCCCTTTTGAGAGCCCTTCCAACACTCCTTCATGACGCAGTGGGAACGGAAACGGCGGCGATCACAATACAGTTTGACCTTTTCGTAACCACCATATCCAGCTCGGCATTGGCATGGGCATCTCGTGGACGACCCGCTTGACGACCCACTGCGAATGGAGTCAGGGATTTCAGCAGCGAGTGCCGAAGCCAGCACCAGAACGAAGAGGGCGAGGAAGAGAGTCAGCTTGATCATTGCGTGAGGTCGGTTGGAGAGTTGGAGTTGTGAGTGAAATTAACGTTTAAATGCTGAATACAAGTTGGTGAGCATCAGGGGAGGAGGGAGGGTGGTCTCAGGGCTTTTTATAGTGAAGAGCGAGGCCCCGTCCCAAGGAAAGAATGTGTGACACACAAGTTTTAGAGAATCCACTGAAGGCGCAGCTACGTTTTCCGCCTGTTGCGGAAACGTTCGGAAACTTCACAGTAGAGTGACGTTGCTGTGGCATACAGTGTCGGTACCACAATGTTGGTATCTAGGGCATGTGAGGGTTTTCTTCTGGGAACATACAATCGAAACGAGAGAGAAGAGGTGGTAATCTAGCGCTGCACACGTACACATACACAAAGGCACATTCAAACGCACACACAAACGCACGCACAAACACACAAACATTACTTACTTGATGCCGAAAGGAGGAGGAAAGGAAACAGTAGTGCCAGGTGGCCTGATCTTCTGTTCTCTACGATAGTGACACGGAATACAGTACAGTAGTCGCCAAACCCTCGACCCTTCTATGACCTTCTGTGACCTGGAAAACCGGAAACCCAAAACGGGTACCGAAGATGTCCGACCAACGGTTGGTGGCCCGCATGCATCCTACCATACTACACCCTGAGTAACGACGCACAATGCTTTGGGTGTCATACCTTTATTTCAACTGCATTGCAACTGCAGTAACCCAAGAAACGTTACGGTGCAGATATACATCACAATATCTTGGGAGTTATGGCCGGCGACAAAGACGTTTTTTTTTCTTCCCCAATGCCTCGGTCACTGGCGACTCGCTCGAGTAGAAAATCCTTGAATTGCTGCAACCCATAAGGCTTCTCCGTTGTTACAACCACGTACGCTCTGGAACGTCCCGCAAGGCCGTCCCATCTCAGTCGATCTCCACCATATGCGGTTCCCTCTTTACAATTTCCAAACCGAGCCAACTCTCCGTTCACGCGTGAATATCGCCGCAGCCCTTTCTACCGTATGTTTCACTGCATTCGTTCCTTACTCTAGTCGTACAGGACACCACCGACAAGCACAACCGGAAACATTCATAAACTCAGATGTGCTGCTGTTTTTATCTTTTTGTACCCTTCTAAGCGCCACAAGAACCAACTCATGGCTAGGTATGATTCATGCGTCTCTATTCTCCCACTGGGCACTGAAACACGGTTCTTACTCAGTTTCAAAATTGTAGTCTGCTTTCTTCACACTTAACAGTACACACGAGTACCGTACACAACTCGGTACGGTCTCTGCGTGGTTTAGTCGCACGATTGTTCCCAGATAGACACCGATGAGCATGCGCTGTTTTGTATCGCATTTGCACGACGACCAGTACCTTGCCCCCCCTGCCTTCTTGACCACAAACCAATTGTAGTTCGTCCTGCAAAAGAAGTCTCTATCTTTCTGGATCGCTTCTCTCTACTGAGAGTTAGAACTTTGATTCACATCTTCGACGGAAGGTACATACGTACAGAACTGACCCCTGTCGCGCAAAACCGCGTCCGTCAAATTTGAAACTCCCCAGAGGCCTGTGCACATGCACTACGAGGTTTCTTCGCTCCCTGTAAACCGTTCATCACGACAATACTGTATTGTTCAAGAGAAATTGGAAGCTAGGAGAAATTAGAATGCTTCTGATGCTTTTCCTGTGTCGCGATATCACACGAATAGGTCCCTACAGGCGAGTCGGTGAATACTTTCTGTCTAGATCCCGATATCATCGCCGACCGTGAGCGCCAACAGAAGCTGGAAAACATACACTTGAGTTCAAACATATATTGTATATACATTCGATTTCAGTATTGTGGCTAAACAACAGTACGTGCTCACGCCGCAGCTTCCAACTCGCAGTGCAGTGTGGGGGATGAGGAATGCATCATGTTTTGCAGTGTTCAACAGGATGTTCAAAAGTCGCGCTTCCGACCAGCGAGCTGACAAAGCGAGGTGGAAACTCGTTCATTCAAAATCACAATGGGATGGTTCATCTGGGGGTTTTCTCCCAGACGTACCCGAAGTGCAAGAGCATGTGCAAAGTGCTATGCGCTATATGCTACGTGCTATGTGCTCTGTGCTATGCGGGAGTTGAGGTTGAACTTGACTGCTCCCGCTACCCTCTCTTGTACTACACGTCCTTCTCAAAAAAATGAAACGTCGTGTTCATGCAGGCTCCCTAATTCCACACCACCCTTGCACGCAGTAAATTTGATCTCCCAAAGTCCACTACCACTCCCATCGCGACTCCCGTACAACGAGTCCAACGACTTTGGCCCTGCTCCTATACACATCATATACATCGACAGGTCCACGTGCAACCAGCTCACCGAGAGGCGCTCCGTGTCTCGAACAGAAGAAACCAGCACATATGGACTTGGGCCAAGCACTCTCCGTTTTCTCCATGTAGTTTCTGCCACAAACTCACCTATCTCACAATACCGCAGTGCCTTTTTTCTTTCTTTCTAGCATGTTTCGAGTCTGATCCCAGCGCAATGCTTCTGCCATCGCATTTCCGTAGTGTGATCACTTCCTTGCCATGGGAGATCGACGGAGGCAACCTCTTCAAACCAGCCCCAGCGCAATGAAAGCGGTTTCCAGGAACAAAGACGGACAGCGACTGATGGGGTTCACGGGGTGCGTATGCATGAGACGGACCTGAAATGAAACAGAACAGAACCTGTGCATGAAAATGAAAATTGCTTTATTAAGGGGGAGCATTAATCGAAACAGGGCCTTGCTTCACATTTGGACAAAGACAGTGATACTGCCTAGCAGGCCTGAGTACCCGCCATGACCGAAATGGGCGTGGTGCAAGGAACGCCACCGCTACTTTCTGGTTTTCTTAGTATAGCACATCGTATTGCACATCGCAGCACTGGAAGTGGCGCCTGTTGCGGTTCTTCTTGTTGCGGGACCCACGAACTGCGAAGCCCAAACCGTTGCGTTCCGTGAGGCACCTGGTCACCTCGCAGAATGGACGATTGCTGCACTCCTTCCTAGCCCACCTCTTCCTGCCACACTGGCACGGGCATTTGAACAGGGGGGGAATTTTGGTGGTTGTCGTGGTGGCGGTGGTGGTGGTGGTGGTGGTGGTGGTGGTGGTGGAGGGTTTGTCCGTTGGGGGATAAGTGTGTGTCTTGGCAGTGGTGGTAGTGGTGGTGGTAGTGGTGGTGGTGGGTTTGTCCGTTGGGGGATAAGTGTGTGTCTTGGCGGTGGTGGTAGTGGTGGTGGTGGTGGGTTTGTCCGTTGGGGGATAAGTGTCTTGACAGCAGGTGAACCCCTTTTGAGAGCCCTTCCAACACTCCTTCATGACGCAGTGGGAACGGAAACGGCGGCGATCACAATACAGTTTGACCTTTTCGTAACCACCATATCCAGCTCGGCATTGGCATGGGCATCTCGTGGACGACCCGCTTGACGACCCACTGCGAATGGAGTCAGGGATTTCAGCAGCGAGTGCCGAAGCCAGCACCAGAACGAAGAGGGCGAGGAAGAGAGTCAGCTTGATCATTGCGTGAGGTCGGTTGGAGAGTTGGAGTTGTGAGTGAAATTAACGTTTAAATGCTGAATACGAGTTGGTGAGCATCAGGGGAGGAGGGAGGGTGGTCTCAGGGCTTTTTATAGTGAAGAGCGAGGCCCCGTCCCAAGGAAAGAATGTGTGACACACAAGTTTTAGAGAATCCACTGAAGGCGCAGCTACGTTTTCCGCCTGTTGCGGAAACGTTCGGAAACTTCACAGTAGAGTGACGTTGCTGTGGCATACAGTGTCGGTACCACAATGCTGGTATCTAGGGCATGTGAGGGTTTTCTTCTGGGAACATACAATCGAAACGAGAGAGAAGAGGTGGTAATCTAGCGCTGCACACGTACACATACACAAAGGCACATTCAAACGCACACACAAACGCACGCACACACACACAAACATTACTTACTTGATGCCGAAAGGAGGAGGAAAGGAAACAGTAGTGCCAGGTGGCCTGATCTTCTGTTCTCTACGATAGTGACACGGAATACAGTACAGTAGTCGCCAAACCCTCGACCCTTCTGTGACCTTCTGTGACCTGGAAAACCGGAAACCCAAAACGGGTACCGAAGATGTCCGACCAACGGTTGGTGGCCCGCATGCATCCTACCATACTACACCCTGAGTAACGACGCACAATGCTTTGGGTGTCATACCTTTATTTCAACTGCATTGCAACTGCAGTAACCCAAGAAACGTTACGGTGCAGATATACATCACAATATCTTGGAGTTATGGCCGGCGACAAAGACGTTTTTTTTTCTTCCCCAATGCCTCGGTCACTGGCGACTCGCTCGAGTAGAAAATCCTTGAATTGCTGCAACCCATAAGGCTTCTCCGTTGTTACAACCACGTACGCTCTGGAACGTCCCGCAAGGCCGTCCCATCTCAGTCGATCTCCACCATATGCGGTTCCCTCTTTACAATTTCCAAACCGAGCCAACTCTCCGTTCACGCGTGAATATCGCCGCAGCCCTTTCTACCGTATGTTTCACTGCATTCGTTCCTTACTCTCGTCGTACAGGACACCACCGACAAGCACAACCGGAAACATTCATAAACTCAGATGTGCTGCTGTTTTTATCTTTTTGTACCCTTCTAAGCGCCACAAGAACCAACTCATGGCTAGGTATGATTCATGCGTCTCTATTCTCCCACTGGGCACTGAAACACGGTTCTTACTCAGTTTCAAAATTGTAGTCTGCTTTCTTCACACTTAACAGTACACACGAGTACCGTACACAACTCGGTACGGTCTCTGCGTGGTTTAGTCGCACGATTGTTCCCAGATAGACACCGATGAGCATGCGCTGTTTTGTATCGCATTTGCACGACGACCAGTACCTTGCCCCCCCTGCCTTCTTGACCACAAACCAATTGTAGTTCGTCCTGCAAAAGAAGTCTCTATCTTTCTGGATCGCTTCTCTCTATTGAGAGTTATAACTTTGATTCACATCTTCGACGGTATCTTTCGCGGTTGCTTCGGCGGCATCTGTGGCAGATCCTGTCACGCTTTGATCCGTTGATGGACTCTGCACAGATGAAGCGATAGGGGCGTCCATGACGCATATCGATACGACCCGTGCAGTCTGAGACTCATTTGTGCTGATGAAAAGAACGGAAAACCCACTTCGTTTTCCTTCAAGACGGGTCGATCTGGCACTGCTGTGATCAGGCGGTTGTGAAATATGTGGAAAACTCACATGCCCCCAGTTTTCGGTATGATGTGAGTTTTGCCAAACGCTTTGTCTGAAAAATTTGCGTTTAGAAAATTTGAGCAAACACGCCGCCAAAACACGCGTTTACGTGGCATGTTAAGACACACCCTCAGGGTGTGTCTTAACATGCCCCGTTTTGCTGCGGTTTGCTTTGCTTTGCCCAAAGAAGTGATTTGGCGTGCTATGAGTGGTTCCTTCGTTTTAATTTATGTGTTTAAGAAAAGCAAGGGCGTAAGAAGCATACGGTATTTGTTAAGAATTTAAAAGTATTCCTGGCAAAACCGGGCAAGGCAAAGCAAACCAGCCTGTTAAGTTACTACCCGCATCCTCACGAACGCACTCCCATGGTGCCAGGACCGGATTTGGCACGCAGTGGTTAAGAAAACCCGTATGCAACAAGCCTGTTGCCTTCACATCACCAGACCTCGAAACCTCACACTCCACTCTGCACTTCAGGCCCGTGCCGTGTTGGGTGGGCCATGTGATGCCTCACCGTCTCCCGCTCTGCGAACAGAATGCGGGTCTGCTCACTGTTCTCCGGGAGTTAAGCCACGAGTACTCCGACTCGCTCAACACCTCCCGCGTCCTAAGTCGCGCTGTCCGTTCCCTCGAGCACTACCGCACAAGAGTCACCTCACGCGAGGAATTTTTACTCGTCCCCAATGTCGGCGAGTGGATCGCAACCAAAGTTCAGATCAGAATTCAAAACTGCTGGGCTGTGCAGGCCATTACGGGGGCAGACGGTTCATGTCCGGACCAACCCCGGGACCCCGAGGAGAACCTCCAGCCACGGCAGGAGGCTACATCGTCAGTACCGAACCGACAGCAGGTTCCCAGCGGCGCTTCTGTTCTCGAGCAAAGCGATGAAGAAGCATCGCCCCCAGCCAACAACCCGATACCATCGCACGCCAGAGGCCGAGGTAGATCCAGGCGTCGTTCTCTAACACATGCCGCAAACCTGTCCGCGGGTCTTTCCGCCGGCGGGCGCCGCCCGTATCGGCCCCGGTATCGCAGCGCACCCTACGCCATTCTGATTGCGCTTTACAAGGCCACGTTGGAGGGTTGCCATCAGATGCGCAAGCGCGACATTGCGGAGCTCGCGCAGCCGTACGCGGATGACCGCATCCTTGCACCGGCGTCGGAGGATCGTCGGACCTGGTACAATGGCTGGTCTAGCGTCAACTCGCAGCTCGTGCAAAGGCGTCTTATAAAAACCTGGAGCAACCCGAAATGGTACGCTCTCACGGAGGAGGGCTTGACCATGGCGAAGGATCTTTTTGAAATGCAGATCAGCGCTGTGGAACGGACGGTCGAGGAGTACGTGCGCGCTGGGGATGTTGCCAGTGGAAGAGACGGTCAAGCGCAGGCAGAACCGAGATCTTCCACGAGTGGTGACTGCACGGGTGCTGCGGAACGGCTTGATGGGCACATTCAGGGAGCCTGCGAATTCGGGCAGTTAGGGTCATCGGGAGCTGGAAAGCAGAATGGACGTTTCGAAAAGGAACAAGTCGGGAATCGGAAGGCAAGCCACCGCGGGGGAATGCGATTCACGAAACAAGTGAACAGGGCAATTGATGTCGTGGAGCGCTTGGAGCGAGATGGCGAGGAGCGTGAGTTGTGTTTGCAGATTCTGGGAGAACTGTTCGAGAAGGAACAGTTTCCCAAAACGACGGAAAAGCTCTACGAGAAGCTGACTGAAGCGCTGTGGAAGAAAAAATGGAAAGAGACCGCACGAGGTGAAGATGTGCGAAAGATTCAGATACGCCCTTTCGAAAATGGTGCTACCGGAAACCGTGGCGCTGCGGGGGGATATGACTTGAATGAACGCCGGAAGATCACAGCACTTTCGTGTGAGATGAACGACCGTGCACCGTCGAAAATTTATTTCGACCCAGGAGTAACAACTGCACCAGCGCCCACAGGAGTGGAAAATATATCGGTGGACGTTCGCAACGGACTGAATGTAGCTGGTGTCAGGCCCACAACTTCTCCGCTCCAAGGAGCTGGGTATAGCAACGGATCGGAAGGTGTGAATTATGCGGGATCCTCTAATGAATCTCCTCGCAACAGATCTGCCCAGGAATCATACGATTCGTTGTCTCAGAAGAAGCCCTGTCCTGAAGGGGCGATTCCCGTTATCTCTCTTGAGGAGGACAGTGATGCAGGTAGCAATGACCCGCAACTTAGTGACCCTTCGACAAGTCGGAGAGCTGAACAACAGCCGAAAACACAGCGATCTCCACATGCATCAGATGACAACTGGTCTACTGGTATTGAGAATATGTCTATGGGGAACGACATGGGAACGCCACAACCACTGGTACAGGATGAAGTGGTCTACGTATGTGACGAAGACACACCACGCGCCAACGTGAAGGCGAGAGTTGATGGAGTTTCCTCTAGTATAATCGACGAAGCCGTGGGCTCAATATCGCCCTCTGGCAGAGGGCCCTACAACAAGACTCCCCAGGGCCTCATGACTAGTGATTCCACCTTGTGGCGACAAGAGCATGAGGAGCATAGTCATTGCTATCCGTCGATGCCAGGAGAACTGAAAAATGCTAGCAGTGCTACCAGAAAAGACAAACAAGCTTTAACCACGCCGTCAGCGCATGAGGCTGCGCCTGAGTTAGACGCAACAGTATCCCGTGATCCAGGCTCTCAAGGCTCTGGAGTTGGAGTTCCGGAGTGTCGGGTTGTGCTGGTGGTCGACTCAATGGAGCGCGTGCGAAAGAGATCGCGAGACATACTTGATACGATAAAGGGTCAATTGCTTGCTCAAGGAGTCGACTGCGAAGTGCGACAACTACCATGTGGTGATGCGATGTTTGTCGCACAGTATCCCGGTGGAATTGAGGTTATTCTAGACTACATCATTGAACGGAAAACATTGGAGGACTTCCACGCTTCCATGCGCGACGGACGAGAGAGAAGGCAGGCGTTCATGATGCGACAGGCCCAGATACCACGCCGGATATTTTTGCTGGAGGGTGACGTGAAGCGGAGTGCGTTGCTGAGGAACAACGCGTCATTTGAGAAGCGCAGGGCGGAGATCGAGGTATGCGATGACTTCTACGTGAAAAAGACGAAGAGCCTCGACGACACTCTGTGGTTCTATTCGTCAATGTACAAACGTCTATGCATGCAGTTTTCGGAGCGGCCATTGGCATTGGCGATGGAGGGGCGAAACTTGTATCAAAACTGGAACGAACGGATGAGGGGCCTAACAAGAGGGATATCGCTTGGACAGCTATTCATGCTGCAGCTGTGCCAGGTTAAGCACGTTGGGAAGGACACGGCTGTGGGCATCGTGAAAAGTGGATGTAAAACGCCTATTGCTTTGTACGAAAGGTTTCGAAGCGTACAGAATGAGGCGGACAGAGAGAATGTGTTTGCGGGAGAGGTCGGCATCAACAAAAAGGCAGTGCGGACCTTGGCAAAGCTTTTCACAGCAAGTGAGTATGAAGTAGAAGCAGCGCTATGAAACGACACCAAGCGCTTGAGAAGCTACAGGAAGAGCACTCCATGGCATGGTTCTGCAGTGCTCTAGTCTTGAGAGGACCATCGCTGAATGAAAATGTTCGCAGAGTTCGCAACACTGTTTTACGGGGACCGATACTGAATGTAACCTGGAGCCAGTGCAAGCGTGATACAAGTGAGACTACACCCGGTAACGGGATTTAGTCTGGGGGAAAAATTAGTGGAGAAAATGCCTAGTACCCAATTAGAATGGCCTACACTAATATCAGTTCGACATGGATTAACTTTATTTAAAGACAGGGCGGTGTCCCACAGTATCAGTTCGGTGACTTTTGCCAAAAAATGGGCCAATCCATTTTCCCCCGACTGTATAAAGTGGGGTACCCAAATTAGAGTAGGCCATGCTAATTTATGTTCCAAGGTGCCGAAAATAGGCCTGTAAATTAGTCTAGCCCATACTAAATCCTGTTATCGGTGTAGCTGCAAACGGGGCATGTTAACACCCTTTGTTGCATTCCTTTTCGCTTTCTTCGCCGTCTCCTACGCTTCCTCGGTTGTCCGCAATTTCAATGTCATTCCGCTCGAAGCGGCGTCCCCAAGCCCTAGTCCTGCAGCCAAGAAGATCGCCAATATTATTCCTCTCTCTCGCCAGAAGGTAACTGACTTGGTCGTCGACTCGTCTGAGAATGGACTCGGCCGCGTTACCACTGTTGGAATCAGCGTCACCCGCGGCGCCAGAGCCGTGCTCAACTTCGACATCACAGTTAACGCTGTCGACGCCCGGACGCTCGACATTGCCAGTGAGAGCATCACCGAGGTTCTCACCGCATCCGAGCGTGCCCAGTTTTTGGAGGAGAGGGAGAGCTTCGACGGTGGTCTCACACTTCCCCTTTTTGAGCTCCTCGGTCTTGATCTTTCAGAGACTGTCACCAGAGAGCAGATCGAGGAAGCGGCTGAGAGCGTGGAGAACTTCGAAACTAAATCTACTGTTGTGAATGAAATCTTGGAGAATGTCTCCGACACGAGAATCCGGATCAACGGCACTCTCACTGCCATGGGAGTGAGTAACATCCCGACCGTTGCATTTGCTTTCATCGAGCTCTCTGCACTCACATTCACGGACGGGTCGTCCCAGTTGGTCGTGTCTACCAGGGATGAGGACGCTGTTGCAGCAGACCGCAGAGGTGAGCCGGTTGACACGTCCGATCAGGACCTCGATGTCATTTGCGTGTCAGGATTCTTCTGCTAAGTTGAAGTCGAAGTCCATCGGACTCAAATTGGGCTGCCATAGCAACTGTTCGCGTTAGATTCGTGCCTCAAGCAGCAATAAACATGAACTGATGTTACACCTTGTCAATGACGGTTTTATGCTGTGCCGTCGTCTAGCTCTGTACTCAAACCCAGGACGAGATGACTAATTTGAAGAAATACACATTTCTTTGGCGGCATAGCGACAGTACGCTCTCCCCAGACTATGCAGTATGCACAGTTTCTTCCGATTATTCCCCTATCGCAAATCAGAGTTTCGCCACATAGCGTTAGGCGGGAGCTTTCCTTGAAGGCGTCCGTTTGACCCCGTAGTTCCTTTTCTCGAAAGACGTGTGGGTTATCCAAGCTATGAAAATGGGTAATGAAAATGGTAAGAGCATGAGAGAGTTTGCTTCCCGTTCCAGCCTCGCTGCTAGGAGTGAAAAATCGATCTTCCTCTACAATCCTTATGTAAGACATCACCACTGGTGTTTTGAGGAACTTGGCGAACTTTGATTGGCCACTCGCTATTTTACACCTTTGCTTTTTTAAAAGACATTGCCGAGAACCGCATTGACTCCGACGACTGTTGCATTGGATGTCATGTACAGTACCCTTCTCACTGGTATAATTTGGGTAATGGTGTGTGTATTTTGGGCACTTTTCAACCCACGATCCTCTGGGATCCTCTGCCCTCCCCGCCTTCCACAACTACTTGGGTATGCAGAGTCCATCTCTCACACACGCACATACACGCACCCAGCACCTGGACAGTAAAGTTTTTCCTCCTCTTTTCTGTCCGCCTCCTGGCTCGACGGTGGCGGTATGCCGCCGGAAATGAGAGCTCAAACCCTCACACACAAGTGATGAATCAACAAGAGTAGAGAAGAGCGGGCTAGCCGTGCAAAACGCCTTTTTTTATAACATGAAAGGCGTGGCTTTTCTGACGTGCAATGCCCCTCAGATGCTCTCACAGCCTGCGAGATGTGGAAATGTGGACAGCAAGCACACACTGGCTATCAAGGCACGCGGGCGGCGTGTGTCAACAAGGTCAGTTGGTGAGAAGGGAAGTAAGGTACCTGTTGGAAGAGAGGAGGTTGTTCGCAATTTGGAGAGCAGTTTTTGGACTTCTCTGGATGATATTTCCTTAAAAAAGTGGCCTAGACGTTCTCCACCTCGTCGATAAGGGAGGGAAGAGAGTACTCGTGCAGATCGGCAGCACGTCGCGGCGCGGAGTTCGCTGAGATTGTCGCAACTCCGATGTAAAGTAACTCCGATGTAAAGTATTTATGTGGGTACCCGAATTAAGCCGGATGGCACATGGAGCGGCCAAAAATTGATTTTTTGATACCGAAAAACCGGCCAGTAGAGGGGTAAAATGACCGATTGCAGGAAAATCCTAAACGTGCCCAAATTATACCAGTGAGCAGGGCAGAAGGGTACAGCGCCCTTTCACGGTGGAGACTTTTCGGACAGCCCGATGAATTGGTGAGCGGATCTTGACATGGAAACAGCAAACTGGTCATACCCGCACGTTTGTCGCTCGGGTGCTACAGTAACGCTGTTTCCGAAACAGAATGCATCGTCTTGACGAAAGTATACAATGTATTACGTCTCTTGGCCATTCGTGCTTGGCCATTCGTGCCACTTGTCCGCTGGGACTTCAGAACGGTATAGAATACGTAGCGTAGCCAAAATTCTTTTTCCTGAAGGAGATGAAGAGGATTGGGATCTGCAGCAATGAACCTCTTTGGAAAGCTGCAGACTTTGCAAAACTTAATCGGTAAACGAAATATGCAATGCATTGAGTCGATTTTCGCATTTGAACGCTTTCGGCAAGAGCGCAAAACGAGCATGTCGAAAACCGGCTTCATCCTGTATGAGGCCACTTTTTGCACCTGGGCCCATAGCACCTTGTCATTTCCGACGTTTCGAGAACGCTGTGTAATGCCAAACGTAGAACATGACGACGCCAGAACGTGAACACGTATCCGGCAGCATGCAGCCTTTTTATTGGGGATAAGGGAGGTTGTCACTCGGGGAATGGGCCATGCGGCGATATTGCGACGCAAAGGCCTTTTTTTGTGAGAATCGAGGAGAGGAAAATACATTCCTTTGGAAGAAATTCACGCCGCCAGACTGGAAACCACCTTTCCCAATCGGCGGAGTCTCTCTGCTGTCTACATGCGGAGGCCTTGTCCGCAGAGCATCGTGGTCAAACTAATCTTTATGAAACGAACTATGTACTCAAGAAAAAATATTGAACTTTCGTTGACCGTCTGCGAAACCACGACAATCGTGGACAAAGACTGCCTCCACCATCGACAAGCACGAGCAGTGCTGCTCACATAAACGGTCTGTGCTTCTGTGATTCCAGTACCTGCCCCCTCGCCAGCCGGTGAGGCGCACCCCCTTCGCCCCACGATTGCTTCAAAAACGCAACCATCTCCCGGAACACTTGGACTTCCGGCAGAGTTTTCCCTTGAAAAAAAGCAAGCTTATCCTCTTGACATGCCTCCCGATACTTTGGCCACACATCCGTATGCTCGCTTGCATGCGCGTTGAGCCTTCGGGCACAGAATGGCGCCCGTTCCATGCGTATGAACCCGCTAGACCGCCCCGGGCATCCTAACACCGCACACAGCTTACACGCCAGCCACGTTGGCGAGCCGCTTGTTGGGCAGCGCTCGACAATGAGCAGGCCGTATGTGATTACCAGACGAACGACGTTTGCTTCTTGGGGGGAGAGGGCGTGGTGCGTGCCATTGGTGGGAGGGGCAGTTGCTGCGGCTTTGGTTGCGGCTTTGGCTGCGGCTTTGGATGCGGCTTTGGCTGCGGCTTTGGCTGCGGCTTTAGCGTCTGCTTTGGCTGCCTTCTTTTCCTTTTTGGCCTGGCGCTTGAGTTTTCTTCTTTCCTGCGCTTCTTTTTTCGGGAGCTTCTTCGTGGGAACTTGTTTCTGAGCTAGCTCTGGCCCCGAAGGTTTCGAGGAAGTTGTGTCGCTGGGGGCCGTCGGTGGGGTCACAGTCTTCGGTTTGGAGAAAGAATTTTGGGAGAAAGAATCTTTCGTGCCCTTGTCCGGGACGCTTTTCAGCTTGTTCTGTTTCTTCTCGTCGTCTTCGCTCTTCTCAGTGACGCACTTCTCCGGCAACTTCAGGTCTGCAGTTTTCGCTCGCTTTGCCTTTTTGGGCGCTATGGAAGGATCTGAAGTACGTCGATCTGGGGAGGACTCTCTAGTGCGCTTGCTGGGGGCAACTTTCAAATTATCCTCCTCTAAATTGATAACTTCGATATCTTGTGTGCGGCGATTGAGCGGAACAGAAGCAGCGAGATATGGCCTTCCTCTGAGCTTCTCCTTGATCACAATAGCCCGACCTGCCTTTGCTGCAACCGTCTGGGATGTACTTTTCGACGGCAGCCGGGAAACTGGAAGGTCCACCGCAGCCTGCAGCCCTGTTCTGGCTGGGACGTTGGCTAGTACAAGGGTTTTCGTCGCTGGCATCGATGACCGTGGAACGGGAGTAGTGTAAGTTTTGCTTCCGTCCCGTGGCAAGGACGCCGTCCTGGACGGTGTTGAACGAGGCTTGGCGGGTAGCGGATTTCCTCGTGGTGGCTTCGACTCTCTCCGGTTTGATGGTTGAGGAGCATGTCCTGTCCGTCGCACGACGCCGCGAGATTCCGTTGCGTTTTGCTCTCTTTGTAGGGATAGTCGTGAATCAGAATCTTGCATTGGTCCTCGCGTCGGAGCTGCTTGTATCTCTGCTCTCAACCTATTTGCTCGATCCGTGATAAGCTTTTGTTTTGCTACTCGGGGCTCTGGTTGTACACTTGCTACCTTCCAGGCTTCTCGCGAGGACGATTCCCGAGCAGGAGCACAATTCCTGTTTGCGTGTGGGTCCGAAGGCGGGATATCGGCAAAGTTTAGGCCAACGTGAGGCGTTTCTTGTTCGGAAGGGACGGCGCATCGCAGTCTGCGTGGTTTGGAAGCAGGAGAACCACGCGACATCCGGTGTGTGCCCAGCCGTGAGGGCGGTTCCCGTGCATCCCGAATGAGCTTTCGTGAGGGCGGTTCCCGCGTATCCCGAACGGGCTTTTGTACAGGATGTGGCGGTTGCACCAGGTGTTTCCTCGGCGCGACACATTCCTCCGCCGTCGCCACCACGATCTGGACCTCGCGCTGACCCACTGTCACACGCACCTGCGTAGATGAATCGCGTGACAACACGCTCGCCACAGCCGCCACGCGGGCGCCCTCCTGCACGACGGGCAGCCGACGCGGCGGCGGCGGCGGCGCCGCCGCCTCTACCGGCGCGTAATCCTCGTCGGCGATCTCCGAGCGCCACAGGGCGGCCTGGCGGAGGGTGCGGGCCATCTCGGCGAGCGGGACGTCCTCGATGTCCGGGGCGCGCGCATGCGCGACGCGCGGCGCGCGCGGCGGCGGGGCGATGAGCGCGGTGGACCCGGAGAGGCGCGGGGCGTAGCAGAGGGGCAGCGGTACCCGCTGGGCGGGCGGCTGCGGCGGCGGAGGCGCGAGCAGCGCGCGCGGCCAGGTGTGGTCGCGCGGCGGCGCGCACGCCGGCTCGGGCTTGACGCGCGGGTCGTGCGGCGTGGCGGGCGTCAAAGCGGAGGCGGACGCCGGCTGGGGCTCGGGCTTGGGCTCGGGCGCGGCGCTAGAGGCCGGGTGGTGCGGGAGCGCGAGCAGGGTCGGCTCGGGCTTGCGGCGCAGGTTGACGGCCTCGGCGGCCACCGCGCGCCAGCGCGCATCGGGCGCGCGCGGAGCCGACGGGGGCGGAGGGGGGCGGCG